TGTCCTCATTGTTTAGCAGTGTACCCAAAAAGCTCTACATTAATATACGCTAACAAAGAGTGCTTTGTTAACATAAGCTAATAAAGATGCTAATTATTGTAAAATCAATCCTTAAAGGATGCTTATATAAACATTGCAGATAGCAGAACGTTCTTCTTTTCTTTTATTCTCCAAATTGGTGTCCTCGAAATTATCTCGCTGCGATGTGTTAATTAGTCCTTTGTAATTCTTAATGATTACGCTAAATTTAAGATGAAAATGAAGAAAATCTTGCAATTCTGGTATTTTGTTGCACAAAATACTTCCAAAAAAATACGAGGAACTTTCCACTTTAGGAGTCGTGATTGACGTATAGACGTACATCATGATTAACGTATAGACGTACATCATGATTAACGTATAGACGTACATCATGATTAACGTATAGACGTACATCATGATTAACGTATAGACGTACACCATGATTGCGTGCAGACGTTACACTATTACTTAATATTATTTAAGAACTCATAAACATGTATCGTTTTTTTTACTGTTTGCCAATAAAAAAGATGAAACGGATGAGAGGAGAAAGTGATAATGATAACATGAAATGATGATATACCGCTGATAAATTCCATTTCATCAGAATCAGTGATAGACGTTAGCAATGCATCCTGTGAAGAACATACTGTCAATGCATTACGATAACTGGTTGAATTTTCTCCCTAAATTTTCTAATTCCAAAATTTTGCATAACAAATATAATTATTTATTTATTAATTATTTTAACTTCTTAGTTTCATCAAAATGTTTATTCGATGGAAATTTCACTCCATTTCACTGGTTTTTTTTTTCGAAAAATTGAAAATTTTTTGACATTCGCACTTTCATTTTTCTAAGAGTTATATTCCAATTCCAAGTTTTTGATTTTATTCATTCGGAAAACCGGAAACTTTCCGGTTAGATGCAATGAAATGAACTAATTAATTATGAATAAAGAAAAAAAAACTTGGAATGAATGTTACTTAAGGAAAAAAAAGAACGAAAACTAAAACTTGCCACGAAATAACACGAATTTGTTTTCGGGAAATATGTCCATTCATTGGAACAAACATCTGAAAAACAATTAAATGATGTATTTTATTGGCCTCAGGCATTTATCATTTCTTCTCACATCCTTTTCTGTTTTCTACTCAAAAAAAAAAAAAAAATTGTTGGGAGGACTTTTATGACCTCAATCCTGTACTTTTTTTTTTTTTTCAATGCCTATGTAATGTTATCAATAGCTTTTGAGATTTACTGAAAGTTAAAGAAAGCAAATTTTTACTATCATTGTTAGCAGCACTGGAACTGTTATCAGCAGCATTATCATCAACTAACGTAATGTTACCACTGATTGTTGTCGTATGAAATAGTTGCAGTAAAGCATTGGATATATCACGGAGCATTTCAAAAAGTTTTTGAAAGTTTAATTTTATGGAAGATCGCTCTGAGACAACGATCATATCGTGCATATTTTTCTTCGAAAGCATTTCATTAGCATCAGATTTTTTCTCAGGTAGTCTATACAGATGATTAAGACAATTTGTACTGGAAATATTTGATTTTAGTTCTGGATCCAGTTCTCGAACAGTTTCTGAAGCTGCTACCATTGACATTACTTTGGTAGAACTCTCCTTATGACTAGTGGTATTTGCAAATTCAGATGTATCGTTTTGCGTCATATTCTGTACTGATATTAATTCCGATAACAAGCTGTTATCCTCAACATTTGATGATGATATGATGATTAAAGTGGAAGTTTCATTTCCTGAAGCAATGGAGGGATCCAAGTCGGTCAAATTTGCATCCAACCCTGAGGTCAAATTGTCGCAATTTCTAAATTTAAGCTCAGCCGAGTGCGCGACAATTTCGATCAAGTCACTTTTATTTGTCAATTTGTCACTGTCTAACGTTTCATTCGTGAAACTGGTAGTATTGAGAACAATCGGCGTATCTGTACAGTTTTTATTTGAAGATATCCCATAGATATCTGATTTGTTTCCGGGAAACTCTTCCAGATTCAATAATTCAGTGATATTAAGTGATAAAGTATTATTTGAATCAGGAGATGCTGGAATATCGGACAGTAAGTCCGTTATCATCGGTTGATCTAAAAAAGAATAAATTTACATATCCGATTTGCAATTATTATTTGAGACATTCACTTATAATTAGTAAGTAGGTATTATATTATGCGAGTATGCTTTGATCGTGATTTTATTCACTATGCAAATTAGGACTATGATTTGACATCGCAGTTACTATTTAGGAATTACTGCGAATTAAGTGACCATAACTATCTGTCACCTCCTTTCAACTTTACTATTTTGCTCCGATCAAAGAAGTGGTAAGACGTCCTTAATTATACTTTCAATGGAAAGATAAAATAGGACAAAAATAATAGGAAAGAAGCGAAAAGCATGACATTATCATCATTATCACCATTATTATCACCATCACTATTAATGCTTTCGCTTACTGCCAATATTGCCCAAATAGCTGTTATCATTATTTTATCAAATATCAAAATAGTAGTACTTTACTAAAATACATCTCAAATTAGTTATAATGAATCTTTTATAATTTAATTTTAAACAGCTTTTCTTTTTTTGCCAATACGACAATTAAAAATTAATTAACCTGGGGGAAATGTCAGGTAAACTGGCGCAAATAGCATGAATACCATTTGAATAGCATTCGACAACATATTGGCTTCCTCAAACTTGACGATGAATTTAGATGAAAAATAACATTCGTCGAAACGCTATATATTACCGTCGGCTTTTATAAAGTGTTCGATGAATTTATTGTGCCTTTCAGAGAAAGCAAAAAAAANAAAAAAAAAGGAATTATTTGCTTAATATGTTTCACTTCCTGATCAATCTAATCATTTTATCATTCATAACAATATCCAACAATAAAGTTATGATGCTTTACATTAATCTAACGTTAACAACCTGTTACCACTAATTCTTTT